TACGTTGAGTTTGTACCTTGGCAATGGCTCCATTTTTTTTCCTTCTCAATCGTTCAGTGTATTCATGATTGAAAAAGAAAACAAATCGAGTGAAAAGAATGTGACCGTAACTATAACTACAAATAAACATAAAAAGAAAACTGACGCTGAAAAGAGGTAAAATTTACAAAGAATTTATTCTTTTTTTCTCACAAGAAAAAGTCCAAGTAAAATCCAACATTTAAAGTGAATGCCTTTCAATGTTAAATATTCCTCGGAATTCAAAAATAAATTCATCGATTAATCTCATGAAATATGTTCATTAATAAGAATAAATCTCGTCGAAAACTTTTGTTATATTTTATTTGCTTAAGTTCATCGCTTCTTTTCATATGTTATTATTCAATAATAAATATTTTTCAACCATTCATTCCTAAAGTTCGTATTCGACCTGAAAGGAAAGATCCGTTTAAGAAAATCTTTATTTCGCATTATACAACAACATATGGAAAACGAACTGATTCAAAATCAAAACTTTTCAGTAACAATTTAGAAAATATTTGTGCTTTACTTGATCCAGAAGAATATCCATATGCTAATGCAGTTTTTGTTAGTTTAATTGATTTAGTTCATTTACCAACTTTACCGAATACAAATGAATCTTATAGAAAAAAATATCAATCCCAATTCTGGTTATTACATACTGAAGAATCTCCGAGGAAATCTTATGAAACAGTTCAATTAAATGATATTACAGATCTTGATGATTGGTTTAATTTAACAGCAACATTAAAGCCTGAATCAGATATTCATATTCAATATAAAGTACGTATCTTTTTATTTTTATAGTATAGCATTGCTTTAAACGAAGAAATAATATGAAATGAGGAAAAAGTGAAGAAAAACAGCAATGTCGAGTGTCGTGCGATCAAATGTTGAAATAATAGAATTTTATACCGAGAAGAATAAGCAATGACATATTAGACAGTTCATAGTAACCCATTCATAGAAATGCTAAAGCTAAAATAATAAGATAAGGAATATTCAATAAAAACATAATGAAAATAATCAATGCTGCAATCAGGAAAAAGATAATAGACGATTGTTCATTTCATTTCAAGTGAAATCAACTGTCATTTTGCATTGGCAAATCTTTTTCCATTGAACTTTTACTCTGACATTTTGATCTTGGTCAATCTTCTTTTAGTAAATTTCACACATCTATCCGATTGAATCAGAGATAAAATATGACTTTGTCTCGAGTACATTTAGTAATTATTAGATTATCTCATTTTTATTCTTTCTATTCAATATTCGTTTCTGTGAATTTTTCTCGAATGGAAATGTCCGCTCATCAGTTAAAACATTATTGATTATTTACAATTGAAGTGTTGAGGCGAAAATTCTTTAAAAGAATGAAAAGTATTTAAATGTGCAAGAATTTTTGCTATTTAACAGTATTTCAACATATAATGAAAACGTTTTGTTCAGATAAATAAAAATCTTCTGTTTTATGTTTTTTTTAGGGATATCGAATTAAACCTGAAATAATCAGTTTTCTCGAGAAGAAATTAAATAAAACATATCCTCGTACAAATTTTTCTCAATTTATTCTTAAACAAGATTTCTTTGAAAAAACGAATTCATCATATATGAAAACACTTGCAAATGTTTTAAGCCATGAAATTAATCTTCGACAAGATCATTATGCAAATGCTTGTCCGTATACTTGCAATACACCTTTATCAAATGATCTAACAGTATATCTTCAACCATATTTAAAGCCAAGAAATTTTCAAATGAAAAATCGAAATATTGTTTATATCGCATGGTTCGTATCAAATTGCAACACTCATTCCAATCGAGAAGAATATGTTTCAAAATTACGATCACAAAAAGGTATTCAAATTGATGTATTTGGTTTTTGTTCATCGTTCTTTAATTCACGTCGTGTGTCAGAAAGATGTCGAAAAGGAATACCGAATTGTACTTTAGATATTTTAACAAAATATCGTTTCTATTTATCATTTGAAAATTCGAAATGTGACACTTATATTACTGAAAAATATTGGATAAATGGACTTAATCAACATGCTGTTCCAATTGTTTTAGGAGCTTCAAGAGAACAGTATAAACGTATTGGAGTACCTTATTCATATATTCATGTTGATGATTATCAATCAGTTGAACAACTTGCTGAAGAACTTCATCGGTTAAATCAAAATGATTCAGAATACATGAAATATCTTCAATGGACACAATTATATGATGTTGGAAGTGATTATATGCCTACGATATTATATGATATACATTCGACACTTTGTTTTCTTGGTCACTATCAGCGTTTATATGAAATGGGAAAAGTAAATCAAGAAAGTAAATATTTACTTGAATTAATTCGTTACTTATTTTCCATAAAAAATATGACTTTGAAGAATTTTAATTGGGATACAGCAACAACAAAAATAATTAAAATTAGTGATTTTTATAATCCAAAAGTTAATTGTTGGGATTATGATTATCCATCAATCTTTAAAAGAATTTGGAATTTCTTTTCTATTTGGACAAAGCTATTTTAATTAATTAGTTTTATTTGAAAACTATTTTGTTTTTCTTTTGTTAATCAAATGAACATCTTATTTCACAAATCAAACTTTGTAAAAGGACATTTATGATATGCCGATTACTCATAGTGATATTTATTCCTGCTATTTTCATGAATATCTCTCATACTCGTAGGAAAGATTAGATTTTATTCATTAACACAATTCAATAGTGCTATGTAGGGATCAATGCCCATTAAAATACCTCAGCGTATTACTTCACTTGTCCTTGGGACGAGTGTAATGATTTTTTCTTTCATAATACTGGATCATTAAGAAATGGTCTATGCAAAATAATTATAATTGAAAGTCTTATAAAGAAGTGCAAACGATAGGTCAAAAAGTAATGTAATAGTTGTCAATGCAGAGCTATTTATGGCAAAAGCAAAACCGTTGAAGAACTTCCAAATAATGCGTTTTGTAGCCCTATCGAAGGGGCAGTTTCTGACAAAGTTTGATGAGTGGATGTTTTTCCTGAGACAGACACAATTCATCACGCTGAATCCATGGTTATCGCTTTTAATACGAAAACAAAATGAAACTGATCCGAAATTGTCTTCTTCGTGCTTCTTACTACTGTATGATTAGAAGCGTTAAGTATAGGATATGTTAACCTGTCAAAAGCCCTACACAACCATACAAAAAACTGTTTTATTTCATTTTTCGAAATTTTATAGGGAGCCTACCAATCAGATATTTATCGCTTTTTTATTTTTTTTCGTACGATAGTAAATCGATCATAAGTCCCCTTAAGTACTTCATAGATTAAACTTATTATAGACTGTTCGACGCACCTTGAATAGCTCTACAAGATGGCATAGATACCTTCTCAATCTGGGATATATCGTCTTATCCGACAGAGCCCTTTCATTGATATTAGTTGATAAAAGCCTTGGTTTTTTGTATGAAGGGTTTCTTTGTTTATTTTCCAAGTACAATCGTTACGATGATTCAATGATTCAGAAGGTAAAATAATAGCTAAGACGTACGTGATGATGAATGAGAACGTCGAAATCATGACTAAGTGACTATCATATTATCGGGCCATGCGTTAATCCTTTTATGATTTTCTTTATTATTTCCTTTTTGGCTCACGTTTATTAGATAATTATAAATCGTATCGTTTAGTATTATATAGGCATCTTATTTCAACATATTCAAGGAGAAATGATGAATACAATGGGATTAGACAAAGCGGTTCGTTCATCGTCAACTTTTCAACGATTTCTTCACTGGATCGAGGATAAGAAAAAATATGTCGATGAATTCTCAGATAAACTAGGAACAATAGAAGAATTCGTTGAAGTTATTCGAAATGTAATACAAGGCAATATTCTAAATCTATCGTGCTGCTTCTGTTTTGGTATAACTATGACAATATCTGTTACAAGTATTGCAGTTGGTGTTGGACTTGGAACAGGTATTGGATGTTTTCAAAATAATTAAAACTATTCCAACTAGCATGAAATTTAGAATTGTTATTTAATCGATATTTTTCGAATAAATTACATGTTTAAATTTGAAAAAACTCTTTATTAGTCAAATTATCAGTCATAAGATTATCCAATTGAAATAGTCGAGACCTCGACTATACTAGTAGTGCTATTTGTAGTATTGAACAAAAATTCCGCAGCTTTATCACAATTTAATCCAACACCAACACCAACCCCAACTCCAATTCCAATAGAAATTCCAATACTAATTGTAGCCATAGAAATTGATAGACATGAGAAAGGATTCAAATTAAAAAAATAGCCTAATATATAAATCGGTATTGTCATTGATAGATCGTAGATTGTACCAATACATTCTAATATCAAAATAAATATTCCCCACCGAGAAAATTCATTTCCAAACCTTCCTTTTTTCGTTGGATATACATCTTTCAAACGAGTCATTATACTTTCTATATAAAATAATAAAAAAACATCGTTACAAATAACTCTATTTGATATCTTTACCTCTTATATTAAAAATCTGGCCAATACACTCGAGAAAAGCTTCTGCCATTAGACGAAATTGAAAAAAGAATCAAATACACTATTGACTATAACGCTATTCGATCTATCATTTATACTAGTCACAGAAAATATCGTTCTACACGAATTACCTTTATATGCGCTGTGTTTGTTATGATAGACAAAACGGAAGTACAGAATATCGAAATATTTTTCATGATCTTATAGATTTCAGATTGATGAAAGTCTAGAGAATAGAAGTTTTTTTAAAGTAATTGTTTTTTCCATAAATTATACATGAAATCTAGACCATATAATTTTGAAAAAAAAAGAATTTAAAATGCAATCTTTTTCCTTTTATAAAGAAAGTAAAAGTGAATAAAGCATATCTTTGATGACGTCCTTTGAATAGTTTCTTTTAAGAATTTGAAAGAAAGATTCAAATATTAACTTTTTTAAAATGCAACCAATAGATGAGATTGTTAGTTCAGGTCGCCTGAAACATTTTGTTGAACAACGTCGTCGATCAATTGTAATTGATTATTTAATTGCAACATCAACACACGTGTTACGAAGTGTCGGTTGTACTTACTCGAAACTCAATCAATTTTTCTGGATATGTTCATTTATGATAACATTTGATAGCATGTCTGATTTTGTTATATCATCAATTTTACAATACTATGCATATCCAACACTAACAAAATTTGAAATTCGGCTCGATCGTCATATGTTATTACCTTCTGTAAAACTGTTTGTAGTGGAAATCCTTATCGTTATGATAAAATAAATCAATCATTAGCTTTATATTTCTATCGTTTTAGTTCGTCGAATGCAACATTTCATCAAACTATTCTCAATTCATTATACATTCCATTAATTATTGATTTATTTAGTCGAAATCAAACAAATGAATTACTATTGGAAAACATCAAGAACAGTGTTTACTATAGGTGATTGGGGTGATTCACTTATTGACCAAGAAGGTTTATCCTTATAGCTTTATGTTCCACAAGAACTCTTTTTCTCTTTTAACGTACTTACGAATGATGAGAAACTTATTTTTGCTAAACATGAATTATTGTCTAATGATTATCTACAATCAAAATTGTGTTCACGATGTGTATCATAATGTAAACATAAATTTTCAAAGATCTATCAGTGCATTGGGCATGCGCACCCTTCGATGGTAATAATGAATATTAGCGAGGATTAATCTTGAATAATTCATCGAATATCAGTGTTTTACTGCCGAGTGATAGTGCACAACGTTTTGATTATTATTTTGATCAAAATTATATGAAAGTCCAAATATCGTGTGGTAGTAAATATACTATCGAATATAACCAAGAAACTAAATTAACATTTATTGATACTTTTTCTGCCATCAGCGAACAAAAGGATTGTAAATGTAGAAAAATGAAAATTATTCATATTTTTATTTCAATGGATTGGATTGAGTGTTTTAAGTGTCATTGAGTTATGTGAATTAATCTGTCGACTTTTTCATCATTCTATCGTTATACACAAAAATAAAGCAAAGTCCACTGTAACACCAATGACAATGATAAAATAATTGATCCTTCTCATTAATTTATACTCCCTAATTAAATATCATTCAAGCTGAATTTTAAATCGCGTTTTCTTTTATTTGTTAATTGTAGAAAGGAAAAGAACATAAATAGTTCGTTTATTTTCCATTTTGAAATCGTTCTTTCATTCGGTTAGAACCACGAATACAGTTGTTACACAAATAACTATAATCTTTGCCACCCGCTTTTACTAAATCACCTAATCCTACTGATTGAGATCCAGCATTCACGGGAGAACCATGTGGTTTCCATTTACTTGACATACGCGTACGTTGTGTGTCAACAACAACTGTCTGAGAATTGTGACCAAAACCAGGTCCTTTATGAACGAGAAACTTTTGACCATCTTGTAATGTTGCTACTTGACCTCGATGATTAATACCGATTTTATCCAAATGTTTGGCAATATCAACACCATATACTGGTTTGATGTCTAATGGACGACGATATTCTTGAATTGATTGTATTCGTTGATTGTATAAACCGTTTAAAGCTTGTTGATTATGAGTATGAGGATATCGTTGCGATTGGAAAAACGCCTGGCTCACTGTTGATACAACGAGCAGAAGCGTAAATGTATAAACCAAACCCATTTGGAACAGAATAGATGTAATATTATTTAAAATATAATTTTACCTGCCAGCTATTTTTCCTTACTACAAATACATGGAAAGAGTATTCTTCTTATATACCCTATGCCCTATCAATACTTCCTCTTCTATACAACAATTTATCTTTGATAGTTCCTCGCTAAAGTATTGACCTTTTACTTCCTTTATGATAGAATAAGTGCCGAACTATAAACATGATCGATACGTCAGTGTATGAAAACTGATTCTTGTTCTATAACGACTAGAGATGCATCAATGTAGGAACACGCACTATGCGGTAGCATGTGTCCTTCGCAATTTTCTAGATAAGAATAAAATTTCCAACATATTCATTCATGATTTCTTTCAAATAATTAAGCAGATAAGAAACCTATTTTATCATTGCTGTCTACAAGTTAAGGAAGAAAAAATATCATTCGAACATAGTTACCCGCTGAAATCTTTACATATCTGTCCTTTCTAGAATTAGTGAAGACTTTTTGAGATATCAAGTCTTGTTCTGATTCGATTGTCCGCTCTGTAAAAATTGTCAGTCTTACTGTGAAAAATAATGATGCAGATAATGTAAAGTGGCATTGCTTATTCCCTGCACGAATCAGTCAATTGAAGATTTCACATGTCGGTGCGATTTATCTTATATTTCTAATCAACTTACGTTTGCTAACATTGGAATATGGTACTTGTGCTTAATTTGGCAGTATTCGCTCGCGAAACTACTCTATTTTGCAAGATGTTCGTGTCTGTAGCGGTAAGTAAAATGTTCAAAGTGTGAATTAAAATGACACACTCTTTTGTATACATAGCGTTCTCCATATTCTCGGCTTATTATACAAAATCTATCAATGGTTTTTCGTAACTTCGAGCATGCAAAGCTACATATATCGGAAGATTAGGCTTTAGTAATACATGGATAGGTGCGCATAATTGTCATGTTTTCCATACTGCACACGCTTGTGAACAATTTCGGTCTAAACTTTCCATCTTGCGTCATTTTACTAGCAATGAATCAGTATGTGATAATAAATCCATAAGTATATGACTCATGTTTAATGCATACACTATTTTCTGTTTTAAATTTATTTATTTAGTTATGGACATTATACCGGTCAGCGCTGGTGATCTAAACCAAAAACGTACAGCGAATGAGTGGGCCGATATTCAACAATTCGAATGTGAAGGTATTTTATACTCGACTTTTTGCTCTCATGAGGATTATGGTGATCATGAACCACCGCTTCATTCGAATAAAATAACAAATCCTGGAAACTTTTATGACAATGGAGACCACTAACTAAAATACTCCATTACACGACTTTCTTTTAACTATCATCCGTGCCATTGATAATCCTTCCATAGAACATATAGGTACCAATTCCGATCGAGCTCATGAATTTCTTAATGATCGTGAAACATATAACAAAAAAGCATTGGAATATACGCTTCGATTTGGACGACCACCTTTTTATTCTTTTTTAGCATTCCACTACGAAAAAATGAATGATGATTTATTTATGGTTCAGATAAAAGCTTCACAGTTAGAGTGTGAAATTATATCACTTCGGATTTATTAAAGAATAAGTAATGAGACAATTCTTACGTTTTTATTCATCATCTGAGGAAGAGTCTATGAAATTATCTATACTTCGATCGAATTGAAGTTTCCATCCTGTGCGGTAATTTATAGATCCGACATTTCCTTTCGACCAAAATTTTGGCTGAGAAAATTCTTTCCAAATATGATCATCTCCGTATAGATAGTTACGGGATATCAATTCGAATTGCAGTAATTTTGGCCAATGATCTCTTATTAAAACTTCAAGTTCTTCAGTTGTTAATTGATCATCAGCAGATATATTGTCGATGAATAATCGTTTTACTTCAGGGAAGTGTCTTAATAGAACTTCGAAATGATGAGATTTAAAGTAGCAATTTGTTTTTAAAGTTAATTTTGTACAGCAATTAAGAACGTTTAATGATGATGACATCACTTCCTCACCATTATTCACTTCTAAATAATTGAATTTAATCGTTTTACAACATGGTACTAACGAAGGAATCAATTCAAGAAAAGGCTCGAGATCAATAACATTAGCTTGAAAGTATTCAATATTTGTTGGTAAGAATGTGACTAAAGGAAGTGTCCTTTCACCAATGTACATGTTCATAACAACATGTTTTAATGATTTTCGTAGATTATCGCTGGAGTTAAATATAAGTTCCATAAGACGTGTATTATTGTCTTCGTAATTGTCCTGAGGAAATTCATGAAGTTCAACATCAAGTTTTTGCAATTGTGTTAAATTTGGAAGCTGCTCAATTACTTCGCGAGGATTATGAAACGGAAGACTCCAGCCTTGAAATATAAATGATTGAAGTTGTGTAAATTTTTCTAGTGGATAAAGTAAGAAAAATTCTGTTTCAGGATATTTTTTCGAGTCATCCGAAAATGTTAAAGATTGAACATTTTCACAACGTATCCATGGCATAATATTTTCGAGATATTGAATATGATTGGTTTTATCTATTTTTAAACAGAGATTGTTTGTCAATTGAATAATATGATCGATTCTTGAATTAAGTCCATTAAATTGATTATATAATTCCAAAACATCGAAATATTCAAATAATGCCATCCATAATTCAGTAGACCAAGATTCAATCGTGGTTCTATCCATATTCTTGTTAACGATATTGTAGTGCGAAAGCAACTGACGTCGTGTTTATGTGTTGTGCACAGTTGTTTATACGAAAGAAAGAAAGAAAGAGAAAAGGATCGACATGATTCATATAGATGTAAAAATCAAAATATAAAGGAAGTGCATTTTTCGGAAAGTTTAACATGATGTATAAACGATTTAACTGTTTGCATAGAGGTTTTTTGTTTGTTAACGAATTGAAATATCTCCGAAGAAATGGTTTGTGATATAAAGCAGCATAAAAACTATACATGACACATATACATGTTATTCTTATTATTGTTTCTATTTACACAACACAATGCAATACTAAACAGTGAACAAACTACCAGAGACAAATAACCTTGGATTTCTAAGTATGAAATATTAATAGGAAAAAAACTAAAAGGTTCATCATTTCTACTGTCTTTTTATTTTATGAATTGTTCGACTGAAAACAATTTGTAAGATAATTTCTAGTCCTTTTATCGACGAATCAATCGATGATATGGAAAGAACGAACATATCTACTAGTAAAAATAATTCACCAGTATTTTTCATATTCAGCATTCTATGTGGTAACAAAGAAAACTAAGAAAAGACATATTAATTCTGTTTACTCTCCAATATCAACTATGAATGAATTTAATGAGTTAGTTTAACTTTTTTTGCACTTCTCATTTGAGTTTATTGTTTCTCATTAATGAATCACTATGATTATGAAATATATGGGCGCGTGCGAGCTTGTGTAATATTTGTACATGACTCGTATCTGTTTGAAAGAAAATTTTGAAATTCGATTGACATTTGTTTTTTTGTATGAATGCTACGAGTTCCAATCATGCAATCTTTAGACGTAAAGTTGCATTACTTATTGGTAATCAAAACTATTACGGGAACGACGGTCAACTTTATCATACGATCAATGAGATCTATGATATTAGTAATGTTTTACGAACTATAATCTGACAAAACGAAAAAGAGATTTATGTTAATTATTTCGAAGTATTAATAACGGTGTTTGTATTGAAAGTAAACATAGACAGAAGCCAACACGTTATGATCGTTTGAGTAATTTCGAGCCAATTTTTCTAATTGATATACCATTGAATACAAATGATGGTAAAAAGAAAACGAAATGTAAAGAAAGATCAATTGTAAAGTAAATCAAACAATTAATCCGATCCTGTGGTTTTCGTTGTGGTGCTTGATGAATATGAATATTTCATTGCATTCTAAGAGTAAAACAAGCCAGTAGATTGACATGTCAGACTTGACGAAATTAAGAGCTTGTCTGCTAACATTGAATATTGAATATAAGATTTTGTCAGATTAAACTTGCCCAGACAATGGTGCATATATCAAACGATGTGATCCTTTGATTGTCTTTATTTATTAATACTCCTGTAGTATTCGTAATGAACAAATAGTAAATATGCATTTCAAAAAAATAGAAAAAAGTAAAGTATTATAGCAGAAGGAGATAGATAAAAGTCAATATGATTAATTATACCTATATTGTTAGTTTCAATTGGAGAACTATTATTTTGAATACCAAGAGATCCAGAAACGGTCAGTGCATATCTAACAGACCATGCATCTTCAGGAAGAATAATACCCATTTCAACTTCATATGCAAACCATGCATCAATAAGTTCCTTCAGAACATCTTCTTGCTGGTCAGCTAAATTAATTGATTCACCTTTGTCTTTAGACAAATCATATAATTCCCATTTCGATGTATTAGATTCATTTGGTATGAAAATAGCTTTGTAGTTTCCACGACGAATAGCACGTTGCCCAAATAATTCCCAACCTATAAAATCCGTTTCCGTATGAACGTGATGCACATGTTCATCAGAACTAAGCAAGTACGAAACCCATGATTTCCCTTTCGGTGTAACAACGGTACGATTGCGAAATACAGTACCTGGATGAGAGACGTTGGCCAGTTCCAAGACAGTAGGTAAAATATCCATAACAGTTGTAAATTCATGACTAATATTTAAAGTTTTATCGAATTTTGGATAATGAACGATTGCTGGACAGCGGATACCGCCTTCAGTAATATAACCTTTAGTCATTCGACTAGGAGCAGTTGATGCTTGAGCCCATCTAGGTCCATACCAAATGAATGAATCTTTATTGCCAAGATTTTCGTAACTATTATTAAATGATTGATTAGTTTGCGTAGGAGACAAAATTGAGACATTTTCCATATCGATACCATCTGCTCCATTGTCTGACATGAACAGGATGAATGTATTTTCAAATTGATCACTTTCTTTCAGATAATCGATGACACGTCCAATAGAAAAATCTACACGTTCCACCATGGCTGCATAGATTTCCATTGTTTTCGCACTAAAAGCTCGTTCAGATGGCGTAAGTTTCTCCCATTCTTCTGAATTTGCATATACAGGTGATACGACCGCGTCAGCTGATAGAAGACCCATCTGATGTTGTACTGCAAGTCGTTTTTGACGTAGGACAGTTGGACCATCGTCGTACATTCCTTTATATTTAGCAATAAGATCTGCAGGTGCTTGAAGAGGCCAATGAGGAGCAGTGAAAGGAAGATAAGCAAAAAATGGCTGATCTTTTTTCTCGTTATTTACTTTTAAAGCATTGATTAGTTGAGTAACAAAATAATCCGACGAATAAAAATCTTCGAGTGACGTGTAGTTAATATATTCAAAATTATGGACATAGCCCGATTGTAGTACTGCATTAGTGCTTTTAGAAAAATAATGATTTGCAGCGCCACCCAGCAAAGCAAAACTTTCATCAAAACCTCGGTTCGCTGGAAGTCTTTCACGAGTATTTCCGATATGCCATTTCCCACTCATCGCAGTGAAATAACCAGCATCTTGCATAATCTCAGGTAAAGCTGCTACACGATCATTTAAGTAGCCTTCATATCCAGGCTTTCCTAGCCAAATGTCTGGATTAAGTACAATAGTTTCTCTCATCTGACCCAGACCAGCAATATGATTATCCGTACCACTCATCAGCATCGACCGAGTAGGTGAGCAGGCTGAGGCAGTATGAAAATCAGTGAATCGAATTCCATTATTGGCAAGCATTTGAAGATTGGGCGTATTGATTTCACTACCGAATGGCGATATATCCGACCAACCGAGATCATCAGCAACAATAATAAGGAAGTTTGGTGAATTATCAAGTTTTGAACGAGACGTACAGCAACCATCAGCTTGAACATATCCTTTAAAAAAGTATTATTATAGTGCTGAGAATAAGAAATAACTCGTATAGTTAACAGAATCGTATCTAGCTAAAGATACTTTTTTATTCAATATGTTATGCTATGGTAAAGTTATTTAGAAAAAATCTTCTACTAGATTAAAAAATTACCTGTGATATGAATAGAAATATAGAGGGAAAGTAAAATAATTAATGGAGAAATAATAGACATACTGTCTTCCAATGTCAATATTTGTTTGTAATCAAATAACGATGTGTAAAATGAGAATTATTTCAACCGAATAATTAAAATTGTAACTTCTATTAATAGTACACTGTGTCCAACTTTAAATATAATCGACTGTCGTAGAGGACGCTGAGGGAATTTTGATTTAATCTATGAATAAATGTACTTGCGTTAACAATCTTATGCTTACTTGAAAAATAACAAATAGAAGAACTTTTACTTGTGGATTACGAATTATGGGGCATCTCAACACATAAAAAAATAGATTTATACGACAGTATTACATATGTATATACTAAGCTATAAAAAATGAATCTCATCTAATCCCTTCGAAAAACAAGTATATATGATCATAAAGAAACTATGTTGAGATAAGAATGCATTAATGCAATCGTATTTATACTACTTTATAAAAATTCAGTAGTCTTGAATAATAATTATCAACGAAAAAAAACAGTATGACAGATCAATGTTGAGGCTTACCAAACGAATGTCGCAGAAATTTGAGATTTGGAAAGCAAAAATAGGATTTTTTGCAAATATATGAGAGGCATTTTAAGGCTTCTACTAGATATAATTGTATCCTTGATTAGTTGTGCATTTCAATATGAAAACGTTTTATAATCTCTCATATTTTGTGGGGCATCCTGTACACATATCTCCTAAACCAATAGAATTCTTGTTGCCATCAAAAGTTACCTAGTTGTACTTTCAACGAGTGTTGTAATTACAGAGTATATATATCATATCGTCGATCATTCGATGAAAATAACGTGATAATGTCTTCACAAAAGAGATCATACGTTCAAGATGAAACTGAAGAGATTGCAACAATTGATTTATCAAGTCGAAATCCTGATTTGGAAGAATTTCGTACTCCATTTGATGAAATAGATTCTTATTCAGCAAGTACACCTAAAACACAAGCTGAATTATATATGATGAATTTAAGTGGTGTAATTCGATCGAAACCAGAATGGTTTAAAAAAATGAATGAGAAAACAATTAGAAAGAAATGGAAACAAGAAGCATTACAACAATATGATCTTTCAGAAAAACAAATTGATTATGTCTTAAATGAACTAATCTATTATGATTCGATACGAGATGGATCAATGGAAATGTCTACTGTTGATGGTGTATGGCAGAGTGATCAATTAATATCAAATGATATTAAACAATCTTTGATTGAAAATGTGAGAAAACTAGAAGATATACCCGCAAGTGATAAAGATTGGCATCCGGGTACAAATCAACAAATATTAGATTTAGTTCATCCATCATTATTTCCTTATGTTAATCATATAACAAGAATTAGTAAGGATACTATTCATGTTGATAATGCTCTTGAATCTATTGGTACTGGTCAAATCATTGATATCAACAGTTTGCGTTTGTTTTCAGAAATTAAACGACAAAAAACATCATCTGATTATACAAAATCAGATAAATATCAATGGTTACCAACTGAATTTAATGTATCAAGAGATGGTCAAGTTAAAATCGAATCATATATTAATAATTTACATCCAATTGAACATAAAGATTTCTATTTAGTGATTGAACAAATATTTCAATGTTTTATACCGTTATTCAATAAATGTTTAACTGATTTACTTCATGAAAAACCAAATCGAATTGATGTTAATTTTTCTGCATCATCTAGAGAAAGGAAAACCTATAAGGACGAAAAAGATGAAGAAGAAGACGACGACGATGAGAATAAGGACGATAACGATGATCAAGATACAATTTTAGATCTTCCAGAATTTCAAATGCCATCTCCACAAACTTCAACTATTGATTTATGTGGAAGAAAATTACAAGTGATCGTTAAATTAGCCAATCATATCTTAACAGCCGATAATCCCGAATATTCCGGTGGTGTTTGGCATGTTGAAGGAATGGAAAATGAACATATTGTTGCGACAGGTATTTTTTATTATCATAGTTCAAATATTACAGAATCCAATTTACAATTTCGAACTGCAATAAATGAACCACTTTTTGATCATGATGCTTCAGAGCGAGCAAATCACTTTTTTCATTTATATGGTGGACGTTCATTGAATCAAAATTTAGGTCAAGTTATTACTCAAGAAGATCGTTGTCTTGTCTTTCCAAATATCTACCAACATAGAGTTGCACCATTTCAATTAACAAATCCTAATCAATTAGGTCTACGAAAGATTCTAGTCTTCTTCTTGGTTGATCCATCAATTTCAATTTTATCAACTGCAAATGTACCACCACAACAATCACATTGGCTGAGGAATATTGTACGTTCGATGTTTCCATTTAATCAATTACCACAATTAGTTATCGAGAAAATAATTAACTATATAGATTTTCCAATGAGTTTAAATCAAGCTTACCAATATCGTAGAGATTTAATGGAAGAAAGAAAATATTTTATCAATCAAAATACTGAACAGTTATTTGAACGACCATTTTCATTATGTGAACATTAAAATAATTTCACTTTTTTCCTCTGTAAATAAATAAACTTTCGTTACTCTTATCAATGCCTTTTCCCTCTACTGAGCAGATAGAACTGACTATATTCAATTCATTTTAGAAAATAAACTGTCATCTTTTCATAAGTGACACAAATCAGAATTAATAGAAATTCAATTAAAACCGACATCTCATTGAGGTCATGACAAATCTCAAATTGGAACCAGTTTTCAATTAATTGCTAACCACTGACTTACCATTCGACGCACCTTGAAGAACTCTACAAGATGACGTAGATAGATTCTCATTTTGGGATATATCGTCTTATCCGACAGGGCCCTTCCTGAACTATCAAAACGAATAGCATAGGCTCCATGAAGTTGATTCAACGCTGATCCTGATTCTTTGGAACAGCCAGGGATACATTGAAATTCATTGTTTTGTAGTTGAATTACGCGATTATTCTGATTATCTGCAATATAAAGATAACCATTGTCATCATGTATGACATCAGTTGGATATTTTAATAATAATCCATTTAATCCTCCTTGTCGACAAAATTGAATTCGATGATTTTTAGAATCCGCAAATATGTTAGTATAGGAAATTTTCTTTTTAAAAAGACAAAAATATCCTGAAGCAGTAGAATATTTCGAACGAGCATTAATTATTCAAATCTTTATCAAAACATTCTTCAGATTTTGTTCAAATTCTTAAACAAAACAAAGTAAGTGATGTGTTTTTAAAAAAATTCAAAAAGCTATAAAAATTCAAGATGATAATGAAATATATGATTAGTCAGACAAAATTTCAACATTAGAAAATATTTGTTTTTCTTTATGAAAAATTAAAAATTCCAAAAATGACTTTAAAACATTATAAACAAATCGTAGGAATTGAACAAAAAAATTTCTTAAATGAAAATCAACAAACTCAAAGACTTTTAGCAATCAAATAATTTTTTTCTTTTCATCTTATTTTTCAATCGATTAGTAAAATATTAACAAATAAACTTATAAAAGTTTAGCTTTCAATCAGTGGTGTTCCGAAGCCAAAAGTATTGGAGGGACATCGATAAATTTCACAAAATTTACTAAAAACTTTTCATAAAAGTTCATCATTATACACAGATTTTTCAGAATTTTGGAATGTTTTTCAAGAGTTTTCTAACACATTTAAGAAATATTCCCACCTTTCAATGAATTTTCCAGAATTACACAGCATTTTTTAAAAACTTGTTCAGAGATGTGTACAAGACCTTTATAAAACTCTGAAAAAAGTTTTAAAAAACTTGCGAGCAAAATATACGAAATTTCTCATTATTTATGGGGCATCGCGGTCCCAACACCCCACACTCGGGACACTCTCGGTTTAGCTCAAATGCATTTTTCTCTTGTTGATTCTTTGAGATATTTCATCAATGATTTGATTTTTAGATTTTTTTTTTCTTTCTTGCATAAATTTTGTTGTTTCAAAAGAATTTACCCAGTGAAGTTTGTTTTTCTCCAAAACAAACAAAAAAATTCTCCCATTCTGTGTAATTCTATATAATATTTACTGCAGAAATTTTGTTTTATTTTATAAAAAAAGTATTTCATTGAAATTGATCGTGAAATGTTCTTTTTATTTTCATTATTACTAATATTAATCTCTGTTCAATCTACTCTTTCCTGTTCGTGTGCACCATTACCACTCAAACTTGAATTCGTTGGTACACGATTTATTTTTATTGGACGTGTCATTGATGTAAAAGTAATCAATTCTGAAGTAAAGACAGATTATGACTATTATGATCTACCTGTGATTCGAAATCATGATTATGATGAAATTACTATGGAAATAGAAGAATCAATTAAAGTTAGCTGAAATTTTCTAAACTTCTTGTATTGAATTCTATTTAGGGCGTTGAAAATCGTTCACGAATTGCCGTTCGTACTCCATCACGAAGCTCATCATGTTATAGAGGATCTACAGTGGGTCAACGATGGCAGATGTGGGGTACCGTTTTAGAACTTTGTTCGAGAAGTACACAAGATATTACTAGAGATATTGATATTCTTAGAAATTTAATTCAACAATCATATGATTATACAGATTATAGCAATGAAATGAATGTTCAAGAAATATCAAACAAAGATTACTTTGTGAATATAACTATCGATGAAGATAATATTAACAAAGAAAATTCTCTCAATGTTTATACTGAAGACGATTTTCATGTTATTTATTCAGGAAAAGAAAAAATTGATATTTCTTGAAAACTATTTTATATTCTTTTTCTATTTATTTTAAACTTTTATTAATTATAAAAATAAATAATTTTTGTCAGAATTAAAGATCATCAATTCAATAATTATTATATAAATCAATTGACAAATGTTTATTTATTGAAAATATGATGATACTCGACATGTGACAAACTATTATCTTGTTTTATTAAATAATGAATATTCATTTTTTATCTTTTACATTCTGATTCTTGTATATTTACTTTTTATACCATATATGATAAAACATAAAAAAAGAGTCAACATTACTTTTACTATTATTAATTTTTCTAAATGTGCTTTATTGTGTGTTGAACATGGATAATTTTTATTTGAAATAAAGTTCTTCTTTTTCAGTTATTTTTATTAGAAATAATGTTTCTTTTCAAATCGCTATTTCTAATCTTGATCTATGTACCATCAATCCTTTCTTGTTCATGTATTTCATTATCAATTGATGCTGAATTTTATCAATCAACAATTATTTTCATTGGTCGTATCATTTCTTCAAGTATAAAAGATTTCAATTCAGTTATGGGTTATGCTCAAATGACGATGGAAGTTGAAGAATCAATTAAAGTTTGAAGATTTTTATTCAGATGAAATTGTATTTATGAAATTTGTTATATTTTTTAGGGAATAAAAGTTGGTGATTTTATCACTATTCAATCATATTTAGAAGGTTCAATGTGTGGTATGGGAAGTCTTTCAAATGGCTCACGATGGCAAATTTGGTTAACGACGGATAATTTTATTAATCTTTGTTCAAGAAATACACAAAATGTTAATAAAGATATTGATATTCTTCGTAATTTCGCTTTAGAGGAACGATTAAACATTGTAAAAGAAAACAATGTTACGAAGGAAACTGATATTCGTAAAAATACTGAAGTTGATTCCAAATTGAATGATTGGTATGAATATGAAATCGAAGATGAAATTCCTTCTCAAGACATTCGTGAAGAATATTTTCGTAGAGAAATTGAAAATATTTACAACGGAATTGGAACAATATTTCAATTAAATATGTTTTTAAAATTATTTTTAATATTTATAAATATATTTTCTTTTTATTGAAATTAATATTAAAAAAAACATTTTATAAGATTGACAAGTAACGAATCTTGAGAGTGAGGGTGTGCTCTCTAAGATAAATAAATAGTATCACTTACATTAATGAAAATTCCACAAGCTTGTGAATTAAAACTATTGTTATTGGCAAAAGTAATTCTACATTTATTCAATGTTATTTTACCTCTTTATGCAAGATCCATGAGCATAGCATTCACATAAATTACTTAATTAACAACGCAATAAAAAGGTACTACATTTGTCTATTTACTGGTAAAGTAGTAGTAAAGTGTTACCCCTAGTTCTGGAATCTAACTAAATAGTTTCCACTTATAAGCATCGATAATTAACAAATTTTTTTTGATAACTGGAATATGATTCATAACACGATAAGACAAATTCAACGACGGTATGATTTCTATAGTTTTCATTTTAAGAAATATATGCAGAGTGCAACGTTTTCAAAGAAATATAATATATATTTCTAATTCTTATAATTATTCTATGATTTTATTTTTATCATATTAAATCGAGTAAATCTATTTCGTAATATTTCACTTACTGCTCGTCGTCATCTCTTATCAGGCGATTCGAATAAAAACTGGGTACCATTCTTTTCTTCATCGGTATGTATTGTATTATTACATCAATTTCAACATGTTATCAATAGAAACTGATGTGTTCTCCTCGTTGATCATTCTCAAGAACAACATTGAATGTATGGTATCATCAATACGAGTTGGCACATATATACTTAATTCTAATAAATAGCAAGAACGTTTGATAAATAAACAACTGAAAGAGTTTTTGTGAAACATAATTAAATGATCTTCTTTGAAATGAATATTGAAGAATTTTTATTTTTATATACACTATATTCGATACGCGTACATAACTATCCTTTCAAATAAAATTATATAAATAGAATAGAATAAATATATCTTTTCTTTTGAAGAAAGCAGTACTTATCTTTTGTGACCTATATAATAATGTTAAAATGAAATATAAAATAGGTTAGACACAGAATATTTCATTCATTTTTAAAAGAAAAGATATCTTTTTGTGAAATATAAGACGTATAAGACAATCATAAAAAGTAAGTATATATTTGAATCAATTTTCAGACTCAAAATGCCGTAATAGAACATATTCCAGTACGGATTAGTATTGAAAATATGCTTTTTTTAAATAGTGACTCTCTACTTGGTATTGTTCGCATTGATTCAAATTACATCGACAACAACCAATCAATCAAGTGAGTTGAAATAAACTTTTCCATGGATAATGAATTCTTGTGAACTATTTGCAATATTTCTATTTAGAATGGTCTAATACAAGTCCACTTCATTATGGGCGGTCTATGCATGCAACTTCCTTATTAAAAAATGGGAATGTATTAGTTACCGGTGGAACATCGGGAGATTTTTTACATTCTACAGAATTGTATCATCCATCAACAGGTAATTGGACAAAAACTGGTTTGATGAATAATGGACGATATCAACATGCATCAGTGACATTAAAGAATGGAAAAGTTTTAGTTATGGGAGGAATGGATGATCATATCGGTATATCTGGTACTTCTGAATTGTATAATCCATTAACAAGAAATTGGACATTTACTGGTAATCTACGAAATCCACGATATATGCATACAGCTTCACTTTTACCAAATGGAAAAGTTCTTATTGTTGGTGGATGGGGCCTTGATGATATACACAGTAGTGCAGAATTGTATGATCCATTGACAGGAAATTGGACTCTTACTGGTAGTATGAATATAAGTCGATATCAACATACAGCATCTGTATTATCAAATGGTAAAGTATTAGTAAACGGTGGATTTACTAATGGTGAAGGTTTTCTTCGTAGCAGTGAATTATATGATCCATTGACAGGAACATGGAAAATAGTATCTAGTATGCCATATCCAACACGTCTACATGCAACTGTGTCATTAAAAAATGGAAAATTATTAGTTACTGGTGGATTTAATGAAGATCGAGATGCTGTAAAAAATGCTACTGTATTTGATCCATCAACAGAAACTTGGACACCGACTAAAAGTATGCAAAATATACGAGGTATGCATACAGCATCTCTATTACCAAATGGAAATGTGTTAGTCGCTGGTGGATGTCTTACTAGTATTTATTCTAGTGGAATAAAAACTGCGGAATTATATAATCCAATAGCAAAAAAATGGACAAATACTTGTAGTATGCATGACAATCGATGGTCTAACACAGCAACTGTATTACACAACGGAGATGTCTTAGTTGTTGGTAATTCGAACATTGCTGAACTATATAATTCATCTACATAACCTTTCTGAAAGCTATAGTAGAACATTCAATAATCTAAAACTGAAATTTGTTTTCTAACTTGAACTTATTATTAAAACTGTAGATATAAAGAGAATATTGGGCTGTCAACAAAGTTCTGGCATTTTTTCCCCTGAAATCTTGTAGTATAACCTAGAAAGTTCTAGAAGTTTCCATACTAAGGATATATCTATATACATAATGTTCAGTGTGTGTGTGTTTCTCTGTGCCGGGTCAAAGGTTAAAGGTCAAATATGAACAATGAGTTTTTCTAGAACAATCCAGAACTATGTATACCTGAGTAGGGTTTCTGGAATATTCTGGAAGTTCCTGGAATATTCTCGAACTTTCGATGAGTATCATATGAAGATGTTAACCGCCAGAAATCAAAGACGAACCAATAGGTGTTGTAGAGTTTTCTAGAACATTCGAGTACTACGTATATACAATTAGTTTCTTTCGAGCGTGCTGGAACCTTCTGCGACTTTATTGAAATTAGTAAAAGAATAGTAAAAGAGTGAAACACCAAAGGTGATAAATTAAGGCTCAAACCCAGGTCGACAAGTCCCATACTCGAATCCGATCGGATTTCGTCCGATCCGAAAGACGGATTTTCTAAGGGTCATCATAGAATATAGCTAAAAATCTATATATATAATGTTCGGTGTGTGTGTGTCCATTTCTCTGTGCCGGGTCTAATCTTTATATATACTGTTCTGTGTGTGTGTTTATCTGTGCCGAATCAAATGTTAAAGGTGAAAAATGAGCAATGAAATGATAGTTTCTATAATATTCCAGAAGTTTCTAGAATTTTTGTTGAAACTCTGTTCAAAGAGCGGCTATCAAAGGATGTTGACAAAATATTATTCGAATTTCTGTGAGTGGCAGAGATTTTAGTTATATATACCTTCTAATCTCTTGATTCTGACAGAAAATCAGTTTACAGTGATAAGAACTACCGTGCAGTATGCACGGGTTCTTGCTAGTATATATATATAGGACACTTTCGAATGATAAAAAAATCATCGATATGGATGTTGATGTCGAATCAAAAATAAATCTTTCTCACGAAGAGATTCGCGTGCTTTTACTTCACGAATTTCGTTTGGGCCACAAAGCAACGGAAGCAGCCAACAACATATGCAATACAAAGGGCCAGAATCTAGTCTCCACTCGTACTGCGCAACGTTGGTTCAATCATTTCAAGAATGGGGATTTAGAACTCGACGATCTACCTCGATTCGATAGACCAATGGAACTGGATATGGACCTTCCAAAGCCGCTTATCGAAGAAGATCCTCGATTGACTTTACGGTTTTTAGCAGAGCAGCTTAAGTTTTCTCATACTACGGTGGAAAAACATCTGAATGAGCTAGACAAGACCTGGAAGTACGGAGTATAGATACCTCATGAATTATCATCACATCAACTGCAACAGAGAGTTGATAAATGTATGGATTTAATCACACCTCATCACAACTGCGAAGACTGATCCACATCCTAATAAGTTGATGCTGAGTGTCTGGTGGGGTATTAACCCTTTGAGGACGGGATTATTTTTTGTAAAAAGAAACCCAATAAAAAATAAAATTTTGACCCAGGTCGAACAGTCTTATACTCGGATCCAGCATCGATTTTTTACCTGGATGGTAGAGCTAGTTGATGCGTTCTGGTGAATGTTGTAGTTGAATATGTATTTTTCGAATGATTATATATTTACAGATCGAGTTGTAGGTGTGGTGTAGTTAGCCTTTGTTCGTAAATTATTTGGCAATATGTTCAGCTGATTATTGCGACAGCGTTTTGATTTTATCAGAAGCGATAACCTGTTTTCATGTGGATGTTATTCGTGAATTGCGTAGTCAATAGTTTGATCGCAAGGCATTTGAAAGATCGTACGAAAGTTTGAGACGATGATGAGTGTTAATGTTTTGTGGTATACCTGTTGTGTCCGATTATGTTCTGGTGCTTAGTACAGTGGATATTGTATGATAGCTATCGCTTTATGATACTCTTGAAAACTTTCTCTAGGCATTTTGTAAGAGAACACGACTTTCTTTATTGGTGTAGTGATGCGTGTAGCATGCGAACGAAAAGCTGTTTTTTAAGATTAGCCGTCGTTAGTAAGGTTTGCGTTTAATTAAAATATATCTAAGTTGTTGAAATGAATGACGTTATCCCGCATGTTGCGATGTGCAATACTTTTGTTTTCGCTAGTAAATCTTGACTCTATTGCTGAGATAATAGCTTAATGATTTGCTGCAGGTAGCCTTTTATTTAAGAGAGACTTGAGTTGTTGAAAAACGCCCATAGGTGAAAGTTATAGTATTAGAGAAATAGCTGCAGAGCAAATATAACTACAATGAATATGTCAACCTAACTTACTTTGTAGGGCTATAAGCACTAGTTTTGTCTATCCTTAGTCAAAGATAAGATTATGTACACGATATTTTCTTTTTATGAAGACATTAGATGCGGTTGCCTATATACATTTATTAGATAATGGATTGTCGTCAATGTTTCGATTGAAACATACAGATTGATGATCTTACGGACTGCTTTGGATTTTCGGAGTTATTTTCACTAGATATTAGTATGGAAAATAGGAGCTATATACAATCATAAGCAACGAGAATGTAATAACTGAACGACAGCTGCACAGTTGCGAGGCGAGTACTTTCGAAAGGTCGATCGTTCCAGATAGTTACAGCTAATTTCGTCATGTTATTCATAGATCTTGCATTTTTTCAGCTACAAGTAGTATTCACTGCAGTATTCTATAAAAATTGCTTTAGCTTTGTAAGAAATCCTTATCATATGTTAAGAAAATGAATTTTTTACAATAAAATAACTACTTCAATTCAGTGTATCTTCCAATAGCCATGTAGCTTTTGGATTCAGAACATGCCTGATGATGATCCCTTTAGGAAGGATCGAAATCGTGATCGTAGTAATGCTTGACTCGCCCACTCTCAATATGATAGCTGTGAATTCTGTAGTCATTCTGATAATACAAGGGAGTTTTCATTTATTTCATTCACAAACCCATAGTATATTATCCATACTATCAAACAATTGAAAACTCATTGAAAGTTTCATCAAATTTTCTTTTTTATGCAATACTTAAACTTAAAAGATAACTGATGTGGTGTACAGTAAGGAGGAAATCGTAATCATGGTCCCTCCACAGCATCCTGCTACAACTATTTTTATATTTGTTTTACTATCGCTCATGGTAGGATTCTTCATGTGTCTATAAGATCAAACTTGATTTAAGGCCTTAGAGATAAAAATGAACCTTCTCTCTAATGTTAGCATCAACTATCTGATAAGGAAAATGTATCTTCTAAGGTATTTCTATCTAGCTAGGAGAAAGAACAATTCTATTTTCATTTTTAAAAATGTTAAGAATATTGTGGTGGTGGTGTTTGTTATCTGTTTGCTTGCGTACTTTTATTCGCATGGCGATATGTGGAGATGTTTTGCCAAGTAAAAGCAAGTGCAAATGTGATGTTCTCAGGATTTTCGTTCCTCAGCATTCTGTTTGCCAGACACATGAACTGTGTAAAAATCCATTTTGAAACGCAAGAGAATATTTTCATGATCAGAGGGCGTGGGCAGAAAGCTACTTGAGTGCAAACTATTGGGTTTTATGCAATAAATTTCTCATAATTGTTAAGACGAGCACGATAGTGTAGGTGAACATATGCGAAGTTAGTTTTTTACAATCTTCTCATTTTTGAGAATGCAATGTAACGATAATAATAATAATGTGAATACCTTAGATTGAAATTCAAAGGTTATGCTTACTTCAAATAGTGAAAGAAATCGATTTGAGACAAAGAAAACTCACGATGTGGAAGGGAATGGGATGGAATAATCCTCCCACATTTTCAGAGTGTTCGGAAAAATTCCGTTATTATGTGTCTACAAAATCTTTTCATATTACGGACTGTCTGGAAAAATAATCCCTTCCACTTTGTTATACTTTATACTGCAGTTCAAACTTAAAATGATTTGTGTTATTTTCACATTCGAAATAAGGAGCAAGTTTGCAGATATAAAAGCTTCTACTATAGTGATTATAGATAGGTAATTGTACCATATAGATTTCTATGCCGCTACGATTTCAAAGGTGTGTAAACATTTCTGATCTATGTAACTTCTTACCTAAGAGAAGCATCAGTTCGTTTGCTTAGTCTGTCTCCTAAGCGAGTTGATATTATCAAAATGCTTAATTGAAGTCGTATTAGCTAGAAAATCAAATTTCCCACGAATTCTTACTCTCCATCCAGAAAAGTGTTGCGGAAAGTTTGCTGGCGTTAAGTGAAACAAAAATGATTGCAATACAATTTACTCAAATAATCTTGTCTTTGCCATCTCTCGCAATGATTCTAACCCTATATCGCTGCAAACAGATTGGCGATAATGTGTTCTGCAAGTGCTGACAGCTAGGAAGAAAATTTTGTGCACGCACACTCTTATTATTCTCTTCAATAATTCCGAGTCAGAAGAGTGGATCTAGGCGAACTCATCTTTCTTCTCAATATGTTTATTTAGAAAAAACTAGCCGATTCTATAGTATATTCACTTTTTGAGTATAAAAAATAGGAACCTGTTGTCGACTTGAACATGTTTTCTAGCTTTACTTGAAACTATGTCGTGTTTAGAAATGTTTCTCTATGATGTCGTTTATACCCTAGTAAAAGTCGGCCAAACATACGAATCACGATTTTCGGATAATGGGGATGGTACATTTACCAATCCGTTTATATGGGGAGATTTCCCGGACGTCGACATTATCCGGGTGGATGGCGACTATTATATGGTGTGTTCGTCTTTTTGCTTGACACCTGGTATACCAATCAGTCACTCCCAGGATTTGGTAAATTGGCAGATTATTGGTTATGCGTACGAGAAACTGGATTACGCTGACATTTACAATATGCCCAATGGATCAAGTCTCTATAATGGAGGAGCATGGGCACCTAGTATTCGTTACTATGATGGCAAGTTTCATATCTTTTATTTTGATAATCTTGGTTTCTTCGTCACCTGTATTTCTGCTAAACCTGAAGGCCCATATGAAAGAAGATTCATAACAAATTACTCTCTCTTCGATCCAGGAGTATTTTTTGATGATGACGGTCGAGTATACGTTTCGCATGGCTCCGGTGCCATATACATAACAGAATTAAGCTCAGATTTTCGGAGGGTTGTTACACCAGCAAGAGAAATTTATAAGTCACCAAATGAAACACTGGAAGGTTCACATGTGTACAAAAGGAATGGTTGGTATTACATCTGTAATCCATCAGGAGCCAGAGATGGCAGAGAGTACATCATGCGTTCGAAAAATATTTATGGGCCATACGAAAGTCGTCTGGTGATTAGCAGTGTTATGAATTATGCTTATAATGGTTTACATCAGGGTGGTTTCATCGATCTACCCAACGGAGATTCCTGGTTCTTCATCTTTCAAGATCATGATTCAGCTGGTCGGCCCCCAAATCTATTTCCCATTGAATGGAAAGATGATTGGCCCGTACTAAAACAAGATAACACGACGACAGATGGTCAAGTACAACCGACTTATCGAAAGCCTGCAACCAATGTTACAGTGGCACCGATTAGTCCCATGCATAGTGATGAGTTTTCGTCGCCAATATTGAATTTAGAATGGCAATGGAGTCTCACCGAACGTCCTGGCTTTATGCGTTTACATGCAACGGCTGGTCGTATTTTGAAAGAAACTCGAAATACTCTTGTGAAACGTCTTATCGGCCCTACTATGTCTGGCCGTACTGTTATTGATTTGTCGAATTTGGAAGATGGTGATGTAGCGGGTCTAGCTATGTGGAACCTTCCCTATGCTTATATCGGTGTACTGAAACAGAGTGGTCGACTAATACCTGCTATGGTTAATCAAGACGAAGTCATTGAAGCCGCTCAACCGCTCACAAACGATCAAATTCATTTTAAAATCACTACTAATGATCGAAGCTTTGCTTCTTTCTACTACAGTATTGACAACGAGACAACTTATACTAAACTAGGAAACGAACTGCAGCTAGTTTTAACTGTCAACACCTTTTTGGGTTCGCGTTTTGGACTATTTTGTTACCATATTGGAAACGGAACATCAGGCTTTGCTGATTTCGATTACCTACGTTTAGAAAGTCCTGTTGGCCCAGCTAATCATTTTGATGCCAGCCAACCCATTAACATCACTTATTATGATACTGAATACAGTATCATCCCGCAACGATCGTTCGATAATGTTCAATCACTTATTTCCAATACCAGCGGTGCTTGGACATGTTTTAACAATCTTAATTTTAGTCAAGGAGCAAACCTTTTTCAAGTGAGTGCCAAAGTTATGTCAAGTCAACAGGGAATGATCGAAATTCGACGTGATCGGTTCGATGGTGAAATACTCGGGGAATGTCCCATACAAAATATACAACCTGGAGATTTCAAATTTTACAATACGACAATCACCCCTGTTAGCGGCGTTCAAAAAATTTGCCTAGTTTTTACCGGTCAAGGTGGAGGCTTTTTCGAGATCAGAGATTTCCAATTTTTTTTCATAAGGGAAAGAAACTTATGAAACAGTTTTTTGACATTTCATAAGACAAGAATAAAAACAAACGGTAACGCTTATCTCAAATTTAGGACATACCCAGTGACTTTCAGAAGGATGAAGATGTGAAGAGGAGGGTGTTGGATATCGGCGTACGTGTGGATGACGCTAGACAGAGGAGATGCACACTCTACATCCTCACTCAACATGCAAAACATGATATACAGCACACTTCAGGTCACCGTTAGTCCCTCGACTGAAAGGAGGGTCATATGAAGAAAAAGTTTGTTTGTCTATTTGTGTCAGGGTCAAAGGCCAAAAAAACATTTTTTTGAAAATGCTCAAACCTCTAGAAAGGATCGTTTGAGAGGAGTCTTGGGACGGGATGAGAAGAATTGCGCCGGCGACCTCAAAGGTTAAAAACACTCCCCCCTTTTCGGAAATGCTTTAGTTTTTTTAAAAATCGTTTGAAATGGGTTCAACCATTGACCGAACAACGCTTGTATGTCCGAGAGATATGTCGTACTGTCTTAGCTCGACATTTACTAAATCTCTAATTTGGCTATATCAATAGTGTATTGAGGAGTGGTGCGAAAGGAGAATCGTATGAGAAAAGATCGTTTGAATGGTGTGTGTTTGCATCATGATTCAAGACCAATATTAACAGAAACTTCACAAATAGCGTGGGGAGATAGCTGAGACTGATCGGTAGCTATCGTAGATTACAAAACTGACCAATCAGGTATCACGCGATGTAAGGCTGAGAAATTAGGTATGTGTCAAGGAGGCATGTGTCGTATGACCCTCAAGATGAGAATCTGGGTGGATTTCCTCTTATAACGTCTAGTAAACAATATCGAGCAGTCGGGAGTGGCGGACCGAAGGGGCGCCAATGGCCGACTGCGAGAGCAGTGCATTGATACATCTTTTGAAAGGGTCTTATGACAAGAGTCGAATTAAAAGTGAATCAGTCGAGGGCTAAGCGAGTCGGCCTCGGTGCGCGTTACTTGTATCTAATAAACTTCAATAAATGATACCTTTTTGACTCAACTACAAATGCAAAAGAAATATTATATTAAGATATCTTCATATTGTCTTCATAGCTTTCTTTGTTTACTTTTTCGTAATTTTCGAAATTTTTCACTCAGTTGAAAATCAATGTTCATAATTCTTTTCAAAAAAACATTTATGGAAACACATTTTCCTTCTCTAAAATTATTATGTCTTTCTGCTTCGGAGTCACATTTAAAATCCATGATACCGTAGCATCTCCTGCGCGAATAGATTCATAATGGACGCTATCATCTACCGTTTCCATAAGTTCACTAAGCACTACTTCGATCCGTTTTCCATCATGAAGTGTTTTAATTATATCAATCTGAAATGGAACATATGGATAGATTAATATTTCGTTTTCATCAGAAAATTTTGATATTTCTGTCAAGTTGAGAGCCGTACGACGTCGTTCATTATGGAGATGATAAGTACAAAAAAGTGATACTTCATTTGAGTCTGCAAGATTTCTCTGACTATAGATATCCGCCACATCATTTTCTAGCGAAGTTGATAGGAATGTCGTGGTGATAATTGTGGAACCATTTTCATAGCCTTCCAATAATAGTTTAGGATTGTGAATAACTGCCCCGCGATAAACAGTCAAAGGACATTTACATACAAATTGATCTAAACTTGGATGATACATGAGAGAGAGAAATACCTGAATACCATCTTGTGTATGTGCTAAGACAATGCAATTGAGCGGTGTACAATATAGTCTCAGTTCATGATAAGTGTTTTTGGCCATGTTTGTATTGATAATTTTGCTGAAAGCTGTTGGACAGGTATACGCGAACAGAATATATCTTATATCATCATATTCGCTGGCAAAGTCAAAGCACTCCAAAATTATATTCGAAGAATTGGGAGCTTCTCGATTGTAAACATAGTATAGATAACCTTTCTTTAACGCATGAATCAAATCTTTGATCGTAACACGTGGTTGAAAAAAAACTTCGATCTAAAAAAATGTAGATGATATTTCCATACAAACAATTGAATATCTAACATGGATTTACAGATAAACTTACCAACTTGTGTCTTTTCCTGTATAATTCCGTATAGTGTAAATGAAGACGTTCAGATTTTCTCATTGCAGAACCATGTTTATCGTTTAGATGCCATTCATAAGCAATTTTTACTGGATTACAACCAATATAACACTGATTTTCCATCTCAAACTCTGAATTTGTTTCGATGTTCAATATTGAAGAATTAATTCCCATTGTATAACTTTTCTTTCTAGGGTAAAGCTCAAAAATAGACACCCTCACCTTATCGCATCAAAACTTATGATGCAGGGAGTTGAAGAAAAGGAAAAAAAACTACAGCAAGCCCTTTTATAACGCCAGCACTTATCTTTTATTGTTGACACGCAGTAAGATAGATAAATTTGTAAAATTTATTCCTAATAAAACAAGAGTATAGTTTCTGCATTTTCTTTTTAAAAAATAAAGATACATAAACTATTTCACAACTTAAATATAGTAGGACTGATTTAATCTGTGATATTTTATTTTAAATGTCCAGTCACTGTCTCGATGGTGGTCAGCTTATATTGAATCAAACTTTAAATACATTTTTTTGTCTATGCGATCCATGTTATCACGGTATCAACTGTTCTGAATTAATTCCAAGAAAGCAACAAATACAATTCGATGAAAATCTTCATGATTTAATTATTTCTTTAATTATATTATGTTTATCATTATTGAACAATCCACTCACAATACACGTGTGTTTAAAAAGTGTACGCATACGCCGTACAAACATTGGCGTCTATCTTATAATTTATTGTGTCATCTGTATTATTGGCACAATAATACTAACTATCGATCATTTCATACAATATTTTAAACCATTTTATTCGTCAAATGATGAAGAACTGTACGAAACACTTCATTGTCTTCTAGAAAGAATTGGAGGACATGTAACAATCTTTATTTGTTTATGGTTAAGTGCATTGATTGCATATGAACGTGTATTAATTATATGTTCTACTGTTCGAATGAATGCTACTCGATGGCGATCAATTTATATATTATTAATTAGTACATGTTTCATTCTACCAAGTAGTACATTAATGTTAATCTATGGATGTGAATGGGGTGTAGTGCATAAAAATTTTAAATCTCGTTTTACGTCTGCCTTAGTATATACTATCGGTGGTGTGGCAGGCATCCTCTATGTTTTATCAACAATACTTCTATTAAAGAATTTTACTAAGCGTATGGCTGATATGACAACTGAACCAAAGTCAAAAACAAGAATATGTCTAAGATTCTCAAGAGATCATCTATTTATACTCATACCACCGATATTCTTCTTTTTTTGTGTCGTTCCATATCAAATATGGTATTCAATAAATCGTTCGGAACGACCCTACCTACACTGTGGAATTTCATTTTTAGAATATATATTTAAAATCATAGTCAGACAATTACGATTATCTCCAACTGCATTTACTTGGCTTATATTTATCTATCCATCGAAAGTCTACATGACTGAATTTTATGGAAGAAGAAAGAAAAGAAATACCCGCATGGAGGTGTAAAATCTTTGATACGAACAAATAAACTATATTTTATTGAGAGTGTGGGTGGGTGAGTTTGAAAATAGGGTAGAAAGAATGTCAAGATTAGAAATCTTTTCGTTTGTCCACAAAAATCTCTTGAGGGTGGGTGTGAACTAATATGTAAACAATTTAATGTATATAGCTAGGATATAAATCAAATTGCTAATTTCAACTCTTGCTTTTCAGCAATCGATACGAAGTCAAAAATAACTTGATAGATTAATTGAGAGATATTTGAAAATGATATATAGTAATAATAAATGCAGAGTTTAGCTTTGCCGACGCGTTTCATGCGTTTATTTTTTTTTAAAAAATAAGAAGCACTCATCAGGGCTCTGCATTTTATATATGTATAAAAAAATAGGAAAATAGGAAAATAAGAAGATCTAAAGTTAACGAGTATGACTTAGCTGTTGTAGAAGATTTTCACAATTACGAGTACCAAGAATGGGCGAAATATCGTTTATTGGTGATTTACCAAAGAATTCTGTCCATAGTTGATGGAATTTCTTTGGAAATGATCTCATATTGGAGCAGTAGGTGAAATGAACGAATATTGTTTGTCCATAGTCAATTGGTACTTTGGGTTCAAATGAATGATTAATTATTTGTTGTCGTAATTGTTGAAAATTGTTTGTATTCAATACTTCTGAAATATGGAATTTGTTTAACACATGTTGAAATTGTTCATCGATAAAATGAATTGGATATTTATTTATTAATAGATCCATTCGTAAACGACCTCTTTCTTTTGAAAAAAGGTCAAATGTTGATGAATATCGGATTGCACGTATTAACATGGCAAAAGGGATATTCTTTTTCATGTGTAATGGGTGAATACTATTGAATGGTAAATAATATGGTTCATAGGATGGTTTGTGATAGACTTGAGTAACCAGTTGACCATTATGATTTTCAATGGATAAGTCGAGGAAATCGACTTGATGGCTAATACAAGGAACTAACTTGATATTATCATCAAATGTATTCTATCGTTCGATTTGTTTTTGAAAATGTCGTAAAGGCCAATTGATTATGATGAATATATCATCTATATATCGGAAGTAGAGACCACCACTGTTTGTAATTTGTTTGATAATATTTTGTTCAAAGAAGAACATGTAACAATTGGCAATGGTCAGGGTTAATGGAGAACCCATTGCTCCACCTCGAATTTGATGATAAAATTGATTGTTGTATGAGAAGTAATTATTTTGCATAACGAATCTTGCTAGACGAATAATTGCTTCTACTTTTAAATTGTTGATATGTTTCAATTGATGGTGATCTAACATTTGTTTCAGTGTTAATACACCTTCAGTTTGTGGAATCATTGTATAAAGGTCTGTAGCATCGATTGTTGATAGTAGAGTTTCATTGTTTAATTTTGTAGTGGACCATTTTTGTAAATGTTTAATTAATTCAAAGCCAGATGTAACTGTAGTCATTGAAGCCATTTGATCAAATAATGGTCGTAATAAACTATCGAGAAACTTGGATATCTTCAATGTTGGATGTTTAAGACCTGAAATAATTGGACGTAATGGTGTACCAGGTTTATGTGTTTTTGGTAGATAATACAGATGAGCTAGTTCAACTTCATCTGTTCTAACACACAATTCCTCGTACTGTTTTTGAGTAATCCATTTGGCTAATCGAAGATCGAATAAATATTTATTTGTTCCTTGAACAAGATCAGGTAAAGGGTCAATTGAACCGAGGCATTGATATGCTTTGGTTCTGTTCATATATTCTGTAGATTTTTGTTCATAGTCTTCTTTTTGTCCCAAATGGAAAACTTTGGATTTGTCTGTTTTTCTAATGACTGTATTTGTTAATTTTATTTTAAATTTTAATCGTTTTAATGTTCGACGATAATTTTTCGTATTTTTATTAACAGTTTGATAATGTTGAATATGATTTGCACCATTATGTAAATCTTGAAGTAATCCATCTAGTTTATTAATAAAATCATCAACTGAACGACCAGGATGTACTTTTCTTTCGAAGAAACGATTTTCAAGTTTTCTTCTTAAAGTGGTTAGTTCAACTGTGCGTCGTCGAGCTGCTGTTTGAGGATTATCATATATAAATTGTGGTCCTAATTGTAGCAAATCATATTCATCATTAGTGAAATTAATTTGAGATGTTTCTTTAATTATATTTGGACGGATAATTCCGTCCCTAATGAACGAATAGGAGTCTTTGGACTGATTGTTGTTGTTGTTGTTTCTATAATGTCGTCCTCGACTCGATATTCCTCTAAAAAATGAATCGATTGTTCAAGTTGTAAATTATAACGTTTTCCTCGTAATTCAAGGTAACGTTTGTATTTTTCCAAAGGACGTTGATTAGAATCTTCAANAATTCTGTTTCAGGATATTTTTTCGAGTCATCCGAAAATGTTAAAGATTGAACATTTTCACAACGTATCCATGGCATAATATTTTCGAGATATTGAATATAATTGGTTTTATCTACTTTTAAACAGAGATTATTTGTCAATTGAATAATATGATCAATTCTTGAATTAAGTCCATTAAATTGATTATATAATTCCAAAACATCGAAATATTTAAATAATGTCGTCCATAATTCAGTAGACCAAGATTCAATTGTAGTTTTATTCATATTCTTGTTAACGATATTGTAGTATGAAAGCAACTGACGTCATGTTTATGTGTTGTGCACAGTTTTTTATACGATAGCAACAAGGAGAAAAGGGTCGACATGATTCATATAGATGTAAAAACCAAAATATAAAGGAAGTGCATTTATCTTATTCATTTTTCGGGCAAATTAACATAATGTATAAACGATTTAATTGTTTGCATAGAAGGGTTTTTGTTTGTTAATGAATTGAAATATCTCCAAAGAAATGGTTTGTGATATAAAGCAGCATAAAAATTATGCATGACACATTCATTTTATTCTTATTTGTTTCTACTTACACAACACAATGCAATACTAATTATCTAACGAACAAACGTAATAGAGAAAAATAACTTTGGATTTCTAAGTATGAAATATTCATAGGAAAAAAACTAAAAGATTCATTATTTCCACCTTCTTTTTATTTTATAAATTGTTTGATTGAAAACAATATGTAATATAATTTCTAGCACTTTTATCGATGATATGGAAAGAGCAAACAGATCTGCTAGTAAAAATTATTCACCTGTAGTATTCATATTCAGCATTATATGTGGTTTTATTCTTTTTTGGTTTGATATTACATAATGGAATAAATATCAAACAAAGAAAACTAAGAAAGGAAATATTAATTCTGTCTACTCTCCAATATCAACTATGAATGAATTTAATGAATTAAACTAAGTTTCTTTTTGCCCTTTTCATTTGAGTTTATTCTTTCTCATTAATGAATCACTATGATTATGAAATATATACATGCGTGCGAGCTTGTGTAATATCTGTACATGACTCGTATCTATTTAAAAGGAGAAGAAAGAAACTTTTGAAATTCGGTTGACATTTGTTTTTTTTGTATGAATGCTACGAATTCCAATCATGCAATCTTTGGGCGCAAAGTTGCATTACTTATTGGTAATCTAAATTATTGCGAAAACGACGGTCAACTTTATCATACGATCGATGAGATCAATGATGTTTTACGAACTATAAATTTTCATGTAGAAAAACATCACGACTTATGTAATTCAGAAACGATTAATATCTTTCCTGAGTTTTCAAAGACAATTCTCGATGGTGATTTAGTTTTATTCTATTTCTCCGGTCATGGTTGTGAAATGGACAGAAAGAATTATTTATTACCAATCGACGATGAGTTCATTGAAAAGAAGGAAGAAATTGAAAATTGTGTAGTTCATAGTGAACAGATTCTTCATCGGTGGTTACAATAATTTCCCTCATCAATTATAATATTTATATTAGATTGTTCTCGATTATCATATTCGTGTAGGCGAAGAAGAGCAAGAAATCGTAACGTATACGAAAGTACCAAAAGGAATATATGTCGTATTCGCTTGTATAGTCACTATCAAATTGCTTCGGATGGCTTCTCAACTGACAGAAATGGATTATATGCGAAACATCTATTGAAACATCTGACAAAAGCAAAAAGAGATTTACGTTAATTATTTCGAAGTATTAATAAGGATGTTTGTATTGAAAATAAACAAAGACAGAAGCCAACACGTTATGATGGTTTGAGTGATCTAACGCCAATTTTTCTAATTGACATACCATTGAATACAAATGATGGTAAAAAGAAATGTAAAGAAAGATCAATTGTAAAATAAATCGAACAATTAATTCCATCCTGTGGTTTTTGTTGTGGTGCTAGATGAATACGAATATTTCATTGTATTCTAAGAGTAAAACAAGTCAGTAGGCTGACATGCCAGACTTGACGAAATTAAGAGCTTGTCTGTCAACGTTGAGTATTGAATATAAGATTTTGTGAGACTACATTTGCCCAGACAATGATGCATATATCAAACGATGTTATTCTTTGATTGTCTTTATTTATTAATACTTCTGTAGTATTCGTAATGAACAAATAGTAAATATATATGCATTTCAAAAAGATAGAAAAAAGTAAAGTATTATAGCAGAAGGAGATAGATAAAAGTCAATATGATTAATTATACCTACATTGTTAGTTTCAATTGGAGAACTATTATTTTGAATACCAAGAGATCCAGAAACGGTCAGTGCATATCTAACAGACCATGCATCTTCAGGAAGAATAATACCCATTTCAACTTCATATGCAAACCATGCATCAATAAGTTCCTTCAGAACATCTTCTTGCTGGTCAGCTAAATTAATTGATTCACCTTTGTCTTTAGACAAATCATATAATTCCCATTTCGATGTATTGGATTCATTTGGAATGAAAATAGCTTTGTAGTTTCCACGGCGAATAGCACGTTGCCCAAATAATTCCCAACCTGTAAAATCCGTTTCCATATGAACGTGATGCACATGTTCATCAGAATTAAGTAAGTATGAAACCCATGATTTCCCTTTCGGTGTAACAACGGTACGATTGCGAAATACAGTACCTGGATGAGAGATGTTGGCCAGTTCTAAGACAGTAGGTAAAATATCCATAACAGTTGTAAATTCATGACTAATATTTAAAGTTTTATCGAGTTTTGGATAATGAACGATTGCTGGACAGCGGATACCGCCTTCAGTAATATAACCTTTAGTCATCCGACTAGGAGCAGTTGATGCTTGAGCCCATCTAGGTCCATACCAAATGAATGAATCTTTATTACCAAGATTTTCGTAGCTATTATTAAATGATTGATTGGTTTGTGTAGGAGACAAAATTGAGACATTTTCCATATCGATACCATCTGCTCCATTGTCTGACATGAACAGGATGAATGTATTTTCAAATTGATTGCTTTCTTTCAGATAATCGATGACACGTCCAATAGAAAAGTCTATACGTTCCACCATGGCTGCATAGATTTCCATTGTTTTCGCACTGAAAGCTCGTTCGGATGGTGTAAGTTTCTCCCATTCTTCTGAATTTGCATATACAGGTGACACGATCGCATCAGCTGATAGAAGACCCAATTGATGTTGTACTGCAAGTCGTTTTTTGACGTAGGATAGTTGGACCATCGTCGTACATTCCTTTATACTTAGCAATAAGATCTGCAGGTGCTTGAAGAGGCCAATGGGGAGCAGTGAAAGGAAGATAAGCAAAAAATGGCTTTTCTTTTTTCTCATTATTTACTTTTAAAGCATTGATTAGTTGAGTAACAAAATAATCCGATGAATAAAAATCTTCGAGTGACGTGTAGTTAATATATTCAAAGTTATGGGCATAGGCCGATGGTAGTACTGCATTAGTACTTTTAGAAAAATAATGATTTGCGGCACCACCCAGCAAGGCAAAACTTTCATCGAAACCTCGGTTCGCTGGAAGTCTTTCATGAGTATTTCCGATATGCCATTTCCCACTCATCGCAGTGAAATAACCAGCATCTTGCATAATCTCAGGTAAAGCTGCTACACGATCGTTTAAGTAGCCTTCATATCCAGGTTTTCCTAGCCAAATGTCGGGATTAAGTACAATAGTTTCTCTCATTTGACCCAGACCAGCAATATGATTATCCGTACCACTCATAAGCATCGACCGAGTAGGTGAACAGGCTGAGGCAGTATGAAAATCAGTGAATCGAATTCCATTATTGGCAAGCATTTGAAGATTGGGCGTATTAATTTCACTACCAAATGGTGATATATCCGACCAACCGAGATCATCAGCAACAATGATAAGAAAGTTTGGTGAATTATCAAGCTTCGAACGAGACGTACAGCAACCATTAACTTGAGCATATCCTTTAAAAAAAGTAGTGTTATATTGTTGAAAATAAGAAAGAACTCATATAGTTAACAGAATCGTATCGAGATAAAAATACTTTTTTTTTTATTGAATATGTTATGCTATGGTAAAGATATTTACCAAAATCTTTTACTGAATTAAAAAATTACCTGTCATATGAATAGAAATATAGAGGACAAATAAAACAATTAATGGAGAAATAATAGACATGCTGTCTTCCAATGTCAATATTTGTTTGTAATCGAAATAACGATGTATAAAATGAGAATTATTTCAACCGAATAATTAAAACTATAACTTCTATTAATGGTACACTGTGTCCAATTTTAGATATAACCGACTGTCGTAGAGGACGGTGAGGAAATTTTGATTTAATCTATGAATAAATGTACTTGCGTTAACAATCTTATGCTTACTTGAAAAATAACAAATAGAAGAACTTTTACTTGTGGATTACGAATTATAGGGCGTTTCAGCACATAAAAAATAGATTTATACGACAGTATTACATATGTATATACTAAGCTATAAAAAATGAATCTCATCTAATCCCTTCGAAAAACAAGTATATGATCATAAAGAAACTATGTTGAGATAAGAATGCATTAATGCAATCGTATTTATACTACTTTATAAAAATTGAGTCGTCTTGAATAATAATTATCAACGAAAAAAAAACATTATGACAGATCAATGTTGAGGCTTACCAAACGAATGTTGCAGAAATTTGAGATTTGGAAAGCAAAAATAGGATTTTTTGCAAATATATGAGAGGCATTTTAAGGCTTCTACTAGATATAATTGTATCCTTGATTAGTTGTGCATTTCAATATGAAAACGTTNTATGTGGAAGAAAATTACAAGTGATCGTTAAATTAGCCAATCATATCTTAACAGCCGATAATCCCGAATATTCCGGTGGTGTTTGGCATGTTGAAGGAATGGAAAATGAACATATTGTTGCAACAGGTATTTTTTATTATCATAGTTCAAATATTACAGAATCAAATTTACAATTTCGAACTGCAATAAATGAACCAAATTTTGATCATGATGCTTCAGAACGAGCAAATCGCTTTTTTCATTTAAATGGTGGACGTTCATTGAATCAAAATTTAGGTCAAGTTATTACTCAAGAAGATCGTTGTCTTGTCTTTCCAAATATCTATCAGCATAGAGTTGCACCATTTCAATTAACAAATCCTAATCAATTAGGTCTACGAAAAATTCTAGTCTTCTTCTTGGTTGATCCATCAATTTCAGTTCTATCAACTGCAAATGTACCACCCCAACAATCACATTGGCTGAGAAATATTGTACGTTCGATATTTCCATTTAATCAATTACCACAATTAGTTATTGAGAAAATAATTAATTATATAGATTTTCCAATGAGTTTAAATCAAGCTAACCAATATCGTAGAGAATTAATGGAAGAAAGAAAGTTTTTTATCAATCAAAATACTGAACAATTATTTGAACGACCATTCTCATTATGTGAACATTAAAATAATTTCACTTTTTTCCTCTATAAATAAATAAACTTTCGTTACTCTTATCAATGCCTTTACCCTCTACTGAGCAAATAGAACTGACTATATTCAATTCATTTGAGAAAACAAACTGTCATCTTTTCATAGGTGACATAAATCAAAATTAATAGAAATTCAATTAAAACCGACATCTCATAGAGGTCATGACAAATCTCAAATTGGAACCAGTTTTCAATTAACTGCTACCCACTGACTTACCATTATTCTCCTTGTCGAAAAAATTAAATTCCATAATTTTTTAGAATCAGCAAATATGTTAGTATAGGAAATCTTCGTTTTAGAAAGACAAAAATACCCTAAAGCAGTAGAATCTTTAGAACGAACATTAATTATTCAAGAAAAAT